GTCCCTAGACGTCAGAACGGACGGCGGCGACAGTGCGGATGTTTGTTTCAAACCTCTTTTTTCCCTATTTTTGATGAAGTCAAAGGGGGAGAAATTAATATTGAAATCTCACTAATACAAAGTGTATCCAAGTAATTTCTTTTACAGATTAAGATTATTCAAAGTAATTCAAAAGAGGTGTTTGTCTTCATCAAATAGGGGGAGACTGATAGTGATGAAGATCTTATTGAACTCTATGTTGATTGAAGATTTTGAAGATTTGATGAAGTCAAAGGATCTCTGGGTTAAAAGGTGTAGTGATTAGTGAGTCTGCATCAATATTAATAGGTATAATCATTCATTTTTTTTTGCTGCATGAGGTTTCATCATTTGAAAGAATTAAAAATGCCTCTAATTGTTTTAATATGTTAAAAACATGTTTAATCGATTAATATGTTCCTAAGACTTGAATATAACTGACACACTTTACGATTAATCGATTAAAATCAGCTGGAAACATTCTTGATAGAGTTTTAACTGATGTATTTTCGAAATAATCGATTAAAACCACTTAAAACATATACTATCATTATTTTAATTGATGCACATTCGAATTAATCAATTATCTTCATTAAAGAAGTATTTGAAAACCTTTTGTCAGCATTTTAACTAATGTCACTTCGAATTAATTGATTAAAATCACTTGAGAAGTTTTGAAAAATGTTCTGTCAGTATTTTAATCGATATAACTTCTAAATAATCGATTAAAATCACTTGAGAAATTTTGAAAAGTATTTTGTCAGTATTTTAATCGATGTAACTTCGAATTAATCGATTAAAACAACTTAGACAAGTTTTGGTTAAATGTTTTAATCGATTAAACCATGCTTTTATCAGTTAAAATCACCTACGAAGTTTTGAGAAATTTTATGACAAGTATTATAATCGATTAAATAGTGAATAAATTATTAAAATAACTTAAGGAATTTTTGTACAACTGTTTTAATCGATTAAATCGTGTTTGCATAAGTTAAAATAAATCTGGAAAATGTTAAAGCATATTTTAACCAATTAAAAGACATTTTAATCGATTAAATCTGTTAGGATCAAGATTAATAATCGATTAAAAGAAGTTTTAACCGATTAATTAAACCAGTTAGTTATAAAAAGTATCTATATAAATAGATTTGCTTCAACATTTTAAAACACACCTTTGAGATATCAATCAAGCAATCAATAAAGATCTTTTTAAGGAAGAAGTGCACTAGTTTTTGTGAAGTTTTTCAGAGTTCTTTCTTGAGGCATTTTTGCATTCTTGCATGTGAAGAAACTCATACTGCAGAGGAAGAATTGCCTCTGCATAACCGGGTTTGGTTGTTCTAGTTTCTTCTCTTTGTTTTCATTAATTCATATTTGTATTGTGTGGGTGTCTGGAAGATTTGGGCACTGGTTTTGCAGTTGGAATTTGGTTGCAGATTGGGTCAAGAACTGGAACTTGGTTCTTGGTGAAGGTTTGGTTCAAGAACTGGAAATTGGTTCTTGGTGCGGATTGAGTGTTTTGTAATTCTGGTTTGTATTCAAAACAGTATCAATCTAGTGGAACTCAATTAGAATTTGGTTGACAATTGGATAGCCCTGTGGTTTGGGTGAACCAATATAATTCTTGTGTTTCTTTTCTCATTCCTTCACACTCTTTAATTCTGCTTGTGCCTTATTCAATTTTGCTTGTATTTCTTGGTCAGACTTCTTAATCTTTTGAAATAGATATTCTATATCCAAAAAGTGCAAAAAAGTTTCAAAAGATCAATTCCGCCCTCTTGATCTCAACCTACATTTCTAACATCCCTAAGTGAATATCTCCAACATAAGTATATAATTGGAACATGTTCCCTCATGTGACAAGGTAAATTCCTATGACTTGCTAGATACAATTTTTTTTTTCACATCACAAGTTAAGTCATAGAGACCTCCATCAACTCTCACCACCTAAAATTTTTCTCAACGTGAGTACAATATCAGTAAAGTTAGGATATCTCCTTCAAAATCCCAAATTCAATATATTACTTACATCTCAACATAGTATTTCCTTCTTAGGAACTACTATGTTAACTTTCATCGATTCATCATAGATATAATATACATATATGAGTATCATATGATATATCTCATATAACAACAATATATTTTTCTATACATATATTAACACCCAACACAATTATTTCATCTTCAATACATGTATTTTATTATCCTAAGTTATTATATACCATTTCTCAGATTTCAACAAAGAATAAATTTGTGCAATTTGACCTATATCTATTATTTTCGTCATAACATTTTTCTACAAATATCCTTTTGGCTAATTCTTGTTTCATTGGGTTACCTATTTTCAAGGATTCAATTCGCATATATGGAACATTAAATTTTGAGTTCTAAACTATTTTTTATGATTTTTAGAAGTTTGGACAAAAAAGTTCTAAGAAATTTCGCTTTAACGAAAATACACCCGAGAATTGCCTTCTTTTCTAGAAAATTTTCGTTTTTTCTAGCTTGAGTGATGTGAACATGACCTATGATAATGGCTAGAACAGGGGAAATAAAGGAAGCTCTTCAACAAATATTGTTGGTTGACCAAATTATGTTTTGAATTAATCAATTAATGGGATTTAGTTTGATTTTGTTTTAAGTTGTAATAAGAGCCCAATTGAAAATTTAGTCATCAGCCTTTGGAAGACTAAGGGGTGCATAGCTGATTGACTTTTAGTTGCCACAGTTTCAGATACATCAGTCATTAAGTAGTTTCAATTCCTAGGTTAATGGACCATTATTAGCCTTTATTTGTTTCCATTAAATAGTTTTCAATTCCTAGATTAATGGGTTATTATTAGTATTTATTTTCTTTTATTGAGTCTTTGTAATTCTGATGGTAACGCTTCTATATCAGCTAAACCATTTTTATCAAGAAATAACAAGTGGAATTTTATTCAGAAATATTAGAGTTTATCTCTTTTATCTTAGTGAGAGTGATTCTCCTAAATTCTTGAGTGATTCAAGAATATTTGGCTGTATCAAAGGACTTTCACATCCTTTGTGAGTTGCCTTCCTTGGAAAGAGTAATTCTTTCCTTCCACCTTATCACTAAATTCCTAAATTTCCTACAAGGTTCTAACCTTAAAGATCCTAAATCACCCCTTGTGATTCATATCATTGAGTGAGACTTACTTCAGCTTGAGCAAAAATACACCCAAAACAAACCTCAACCAGTGAGAGTTTTTCACTTGAGCGAGATATTTTCGCTTGAGCGAGATATTTCGCTTGAGCGAAATATCTCCTGAGAATCACCTTTTTTTGGAATAATTTTACTTGAGCGAGACTCACTTTTGCTTGAGCAAAAATTTATTTGGTTGAGAGAAACTACACTTAAGGAGAGTCATTTCCTCTTATGCACAGTTCCCTTGAACGACCAATTTTCGTTTGAGCAAATATGCAGATAATAAACCTGCATAATTCATGTTAAACCACACTTCAAGTATTAACCACTATCTTATGAGACTTTATTACTCAATTTCCTTTTAGATATATCACACCCTAACATTTTATACACATCATTACTCTAAGTCAACTCATTTAATCATAATTTAACATACAACACAACAATCAAATTTCTGCAAATCAAACAATGTGACAAAATCATCTTCATAGTCCATATCATCTATTATAGGGTGCTAAAAAATTTACTACTAGCTTCCTTTACCTTCCATGTTCAGTGTTCTCAAGTTTGAAAGTTTTAAATTCCCAATTTCTTAGAGAGTCATATCTCTATATAAGATTATGATCGAATGAAAACATTCACCATACCACTAGGAGTACAATGATGTGCTTGGATTTAGAAAAAGAAAACATAAGAATTGGGTAAGAAAGTTTTAGAAAGAAGTCAAATAATTTAAAATTTATAAAGATGATGGTTTCTTTATAAATGAAATTTAAAGTATAAATATTTTCTATTTAAACTATTTTTATCTCAAAAATAAAAACTTCAAACTTTATTTTATTTAATCACTAAATTTTTTAAACTACTAAATCTTAGTACTTACATATTATATTAATATATATTATAATGTTGTTAAAAGTCATGTACAAATTTTAAAATTAAAAGTTTTTATGATACATTTTAATTAATAATTTAGTATATAATCTCTAAAATAGATTATTATGCATTTATATGACTCCATTTTACTATTTATTAATATACATTATAAAATTATTAAAAATGATAAAAGGAGTTGGATATATATCCATATATATTTTTGAAAATCGAATTTATACATATTTGTTAACAAAATATAAAAAAAAAATCGAATGAATAAAATTTTATTAAAGTTTACAACTAATGTAAACAAAATAAAACAACAGTTTAAATATTGCACATACTTATTAAGTAACACAAATAAAGACACTATCTTAAAATAAGATAGCCACAAAGTTAAAGACATGTTTAGTTATTATAGTCTTATATTTAAAAATGAAAGAGTAATTAGGTTCAGACAGTAAATATAAATAAAATAATTGGAAGAAAATACCTAAAAGAAAAGTGAATAACCATCTAAAATTTTCTTTACACTGTTACTTTTTAATCAATAAGCTAACTTTCTTAACTGGTCAATAATTAATTAAATTATTTACAAGTTTTTTGGTAAAATTATCACGATAAATTTCATATGACTATTACAATATTATCATTTTAACCGATAATTATAATTACAATTACAATGTACCCTTAAAATAAGGTTACTAGTAACCCTAGATTGCAAAATCTTGATGTAAAATCTACCTAAGAGATTCCATGTTGATTAAAATTATTACAGTTTCCATTCAAAGAACATTCTTATTTAATACACTATACTAAAAACACAAACATTCATCACCTTCACATCTAACTCCACACCATATCCCACTCGCACCCTACTACACGCGCCACACGAGCCACGTGTCCGAACATCCAAGCGAGTTCTCAACACGTCCAAATGATCAGCGCGTGGCGAAAACAGTGCACGCGTTCATTCATTCCCTCCGCCTTCGTTAGTTCAAATTTCAAAATCGACTCCGCACTCGCACCTCACTTCACACTTCTCACACACACTCTCACATTTAATTTTTTTTTTTCATAAAAAGAAATAATAAAAATAAAAAAAATGTAACGTTACCTTACCTGCTCCGCGTCTTCTTCAATGACACGGTCTGGTTAGTGTTGTTGTTGTTTCGGCTGCTTAGGTTCGACACCGAGGTTCGTTTTCCGATCCTTTTCCCGAACCTCCGCTATGGGTTGCTTCTTCGCTTGCTTCAGAGCTCGGGACTCCGCCACCGCCACGACCACCACAGTGCCTTCTTCTCCTTCCGGCAAACACAAACCCGACGTAACTAACCACTGTTCGCTGCTGTTTTTGTTGTGATTTTGTAATTTTTGTTTTTGATTTCGATTTCCTGCTGCTTTGTTCGCTTTGCAGAAGCAAAGCTCAAACCGTGGTTGAGTAATTCAGCTGATTTTGTGAGAGTTTTGGGCAGTTTTAGTTCTAATTTGTTGTTGTCTTGTTTTTCGCTATGTGAGGGTTTTGATTTTTCTGTGTCAACCAGGATGTTGCGGTCTCTCGAAATCGGTTATCCACTTTGTTTTTGTCTGAAGGTGAATTTTAATTTCATTTTTTATTTATTATTATTATTATTATTATTATTTTTCTTTCAGTGCTGAGTGTGTGATTTTGATTTTGAGAAGAGAGAGAAGACTCTGATGTGCGCGATGACGGGAAGGACGTTGAACTGGGATCTCAGAAAGGTGACAGTGAGGTGTGTTTTCTTTTTGTTAGTGTTGATATAGCTGCGATTGTTTGTTGTGTGATTACGAGTTTCTAGTTTTGTTTGTTGTTTTTGAAATTTGGAGTTTTCTGTTTGTGCTGGTGTTGGAGCATTTTGTTCCTGTTTGTGAGGGAAAAGGAAGGTGTTTGATTTTGTTTCACTTGAGAACTGCGTACTGTTTGTAATAGTGATATTTTTTGGAACTTTATCTGCATTTTATTTTTTAGATGAATGAAGTGCAATGAGAACAAGACGAAGGAAGCAAGTAAGAGTAATTTGTCACAAAAGAATTATAACTTTATAAGCAAAGATAATGAAAACTATTTGAGAATGACCAGAATTTGGTGCCAAAGCTGGATTTACAACTTTGTATCGTAAAGGGGGACTGGGAGGAACTTAAACACAGGGAATAATTTTATTGCAATTGGGTCCTTCTAACTTCTCGTTATTTTCCATTGTTTTTAGAATGCTTTTACAGAGGCTTTAGTATGAATAATTGGATTGTTGACGCCACAAGGTGAACTGGAAGGAATCTGAAGTTTTAGTTTGAAGTGAAATTAGGTTTAACATTGATGTTAGTATAGTTATGTTTATGGTAGGCAGTACCAGCTCTTACTTGGTGGAATAGCCTGAAATGCTATGGTTTATTTGGTGACCATGGCTAGCGTGTCACAGTGCTAGTCACCATGGCATTTTGCAAGCATTGGCGCTGCAATGCTTTTCTTCTACCTCGGATTGTATAGCAAGGTGACTTACAGAAAATCTTCTTTACGGTCTCAATATTTTTCCACTGGCTCATTCTCTGGTCTATGCTCTTGATTATATTTGTGATGAAGGTAGCAATTTTGTGACAATGATGATGTTACTATATCATTATGCTAGTTTCATGATGTGATCCTGATATTTTATACCATATATCTAGTTATCCCCTTCATATACGTGCTGTAATATATGCAGTTTCAGGCACATAAATCTTTGTAATATTAGCAACCAGATCATCTGAGATGAATGATGCTTTGCTGGTGGAAAAATAATAGGCTTGATAGATTTTCTGAATTTTACAAATTAATTTTTGTTTAGCTTGAGTGAACTGTGTTTTCATTATACAAGATTTTTGAAAAACACTTTTTGAAGCTTGAAGTTACTTTCTATTTTGTGAAGCTGTTGATTTGTACACTAGATGGGTGCATACACATGCTTTGTAAAATTTGTTTCTATGATTGAATCAACATGTTTTGCAGGCCAAGTTTCTCAAAGCTAGCAGTAATTTGACTAGGATCCCTTTTGAGAAAGTTCACCTTGAGAGTCAACCTTTCAATCCCTCAACTCCTGTAAAATGTTGCGAGGAAGGGGAGAAGAGAACTGATTATTTTGAGCAAACACCAAGCAGGTTATTCGTCTCTTTGAATTGAATTTTTTCATACTGATATTGAATAATAATTGTTAGATATGATTAGATATTAGTTGATATTGTTTGATATTGTTGAGATATTGTTAGATATTGTTAATCACAATATCAAATAATATCTTTTTATTTACCCTATTTGTATTCTGTTACTCTTTTGAGGAGTACCTTTCTTTATTATAAATACACTGCCCTATGTGTGGTAAATACATAAGGGAAATTAACCCTATACAGTTTTTCCCTATATTCAACATGGTATCAAGAGCTTAAGGTCTCTTGGGATTTTTTTTCGGCTCTGCCACTGAACCTGCAGCTGTCGCCGCCTCCATCGCCGCCGCCGTCGCCACCGCCGTCCGCCGCCGTCGCCAGAGTAGCAGTTCGGACCTCTTTGGTGTTTTAGGGTTTTTCTCTCTCTTCCTCCATGGCATCTTCCGCTGCCACTTCCAATTCTGAAGTTACCTCTGTTAGCTCCGGTGGGTCTGAGCAATCTGTTTTTACTAATTATGTCAATGTGAATTTACCCATTGATAAATTAGATGGTACGAATTATGCAACTTGGGCATCTGATATTAGACTTTGGCTTGAGAGTCAGGGGTATGTTGATCATCTTACTACCAAGGTAGATGATGTTCCTTCCAATGATCGTGTCCGTTGGAAGAAAGTTGATGCTCATATATGTATGGTTCTCAAGAATACCATCCAATCTTCTTTAAAACAAATTTTTCGATCGTATGGCACATGTTATGACGTTTGGGAACAAGCCAAATTATTATACACCAATGACACTCAACGTCTTTATGGTGTTTGTTACAATCTTCTTGATGTTATTGCTCCTCGAGATAAGGATCCTGTGGCGGATTATGTGGGTAAGATCCATGCTCTTCTCCATGAATTTAATGAGTTATTACCCCCGCCTCGACTCCTGCCCAAGAATTAGAGCAACGATCAAAGTTTTTCATGGTTTTGATGTTACACGGACTTGCCGATAAATATGCCCCTGTTCGTGACCGGATTTTGGGTTCCCCTGTTACACCCAGCTTTACCGCTACCAGTTCCTCCCTTTTGCGGGTGCCATGTAAACCTCTCAATATTCCCCCTGTAGTTTCTAATGATTCATCTCGCCTTGGCCTCTCACCGTGATGATCGTAATCGCTCTCACAAGCCAGGCAAAGGGCGTGTCAAGTGTGACCATTGTGGCAAACTAGGCCACAAAATTGACAAATGTTATGCTTTACATGGTTATCCTCGCCGATCTGCTGCAGTTGCTCGGGACCGATTCTTCCGCACAATCCTCTGCTGTGGATCCTCCTTCGTCTGTACCTTCGGATAAATCTGCTATCTTCAATGATTTTCTTCAATGGTATGAGGATCGAAAGCCCTCCAGTTCCACTACTTCGTTGCCCACACAGGTACATCTTTTGTTGGTCCGACTCACTCTTCTTCTATTGGCCCTTGGGTTTTTGACTCAGGCGCCACCGATCACATCACCGGTAACAAATCCTTATTTTCCTCTTTCACTTCTTCTCATAATTTACCCTCTGTTACAATGGCTAATGGGTCTACAACTTTAGCTCATGGTGTTGGAACGGTTACTCTTTTTCCCTCGTTGTCCATTGATAATGTTTTGTATGTACCCGGGTCCCCCTTTAACTTATTATCCATTAGCCGTCTAACTCGATCTCTTGATTGTGTTATCTCTTTTACCAAAACTTCGTTTCCCTACGGGACCGGAGCTCGCAAAGAGTGATTGGCACCGGATGTGAGTCACATGGACTTTATTATCTTCAACCTTCTCCACATGTTGGCACGGTTATGGAGTCTCCTTCTCTCCTTCATGCTCGGCTTGGTCACTCCGATCTGCGCAAATTACGAGCAACTTGTTCCCGGCTTATCCCAGCTTGTCCAATTTGGTGTGTGAGTCCCGTCGGTTAGGCAAACATAGTCGTACTTCCTTTTCTCGTAGTGTTTCCCAGCGTGCTTCATCCCCCTTTGCCTTAGTTCACTCGACATTTGGGGACCCGAGTCGTGTTAAGTCTAATTTAGGTTTTCAATATTTTGTTACTTTTATTGATGATTTCTCTCGTTGTACTTGGTTATTTTTAATGAAAAATCGTTCTGAGTTGTTTTCTATATTCCAAAACTTTTATCATGAAATTAAAAATCAATTTGGTGTCTCTATTCAAATTTTTCGAAGTGATAATGGCTGTGAATATCTTTCAAACTCGTTTAAACAATTTATGGTTTCTCATGACATTCTTCATCAAACTTCCTGTGCTTATACCCCTCAACAAAATGGGGTGGCTGAGCGCAAGAATAGACACCTTATTGAAACAACCCGTACTCTTTTAATTCATGGTGAGGTTCCTCAACATTTTTGGGGTGATGTTGTTCTTACTGCCTGTTATCTTATTAATCGTATGCCCTCTTCGGTTTTAGATAACAAAATTCCCCATTCTATTTTATTTCCTCATGACACTCTCCATCATTTACCTCTGAAGGTTTTTGGGTCTACTTGTTTTGTCCACAATTTTGATCCTGGTCATGATAAGTTATCTCCTCGATCACACAAATGTGTTTTCTTAGGATTTACTCGATCCCAAAAAGGATACAAGTGTTTTTCTCCTTCTCTTAATCGCTATTTTGTGTCTGCCGATGTCACCTTCAATGAGTGTTCCTTTTACTTTAAGGACCCTTCCCTACCTGCTGAGTCTCCATCTGCTACAGTTCCCATTCCTGTTCTCATTGATCCCTATGTTGAGGACCATCCACCATTAGCCCCTCCTCCTCCACCACCCCTTCGGGTTTATAGTCGCAGACCTCGCCCACAACAGACGCCACATGACTCACTCCCAGTGCCAAATACTCGCCTCCTCCGGTTCAGTCCACGAGTCCGACCTTCCTATTGCCCTTCGTAAAGGTACGCGTTCTACTCGTAATCCTTCTCCACATTATACTCGCTTTAAGTTATCATCGAATTTCTTCACCATTTTATACCTGTCTCTCGACTATTTTTTACGTGTCTATTCCTAAATCTGTCTCGAAGCCTTAGCCCACCCTGGTTGGCGTCGGGCCATGCTAGATGAACTCGGTGCTCTTCGGACTAGTGGAACCCGGACGCTTGTCCCATTACCATCCGGAAAATCTGTTGTTGGTTGCGGGTGGGTCTTCGCTATCAAGGTTGGTCCTGATGGTACTATTGATCGCCTCAAAGCTCGCCTTGTAGCCAAAGGCTATACCCAAATTTTTGGGTTGGATTATGGTGATACTTTCTCTCCAGTGGCAAAGATGGCTTCTGTTCGTTTATTCATTGCCATGGCTGCTATTCAACAATGGCCTCTTTATCAACTGGATGTCAAAAATGCTTTCTTGAATGGCGATTTGCAAGAAGAGATTTATATGGAGCAACCTCCCGGATTTGTTGCTCAGGGGGAGTCTTCTGGATTGGTTACTCTTTTGAGGAGTACCTTTCTTTATTATAAATACACTGCCCTATGTGTGGTAAATACATAAGGGAAATTAACCCTATATTCAACAATAATGAACGTAAGCAAGTAACGTTTTAGTCATGTCATAGGCAGTGGATATTCTACTCCTTACTCTTAGGACAATGGGAAACAGCTGCAGCTCATAACCATTAAAACATCTAAGAAAAATTGTTGGTTAAATAAGGTCTCTCTCAAAAAATGATGAAATTGATTCTTGTTGAAAGTCCCACATCGCCTACCTCGTATCATTTGGTATGGTTTAAATACATGTTAGGCTACTCCACATATTGCCAATTGGTTTTATGTTGGAACCTTAACATGGTATCAGAGCCAAAGCCTAACATCTTTCCGGTTATTGTCATGGGCCAAAAGTTGCCCTTTAGTTGGGTCAAAAGTACCCTTTGCCTGGTCCGGCGGGCTTCGTTGGAGGGGGTGTGTTGAAAGTCCCACATCGCCTACCTCATATCATTTGGTATGGTTTAAATACATGTTAGGCTACTCCACATATTGCCAATTGGTTTTATGTTGGAACCTTAACAATTCTCATTTCTTCTCTTTTAGATTTTTTTAAAGGGAATGTTGTATTATGGGTGTGAGCTAATAGCATTTTAGTCAATTTCATGCCTTACTCTTAGAACAATGAAAGGCCACCTTGTTAACTTTGGCTGCAGGCCATTATTCTTAAATGGTCTTAGAATTTTTTTTCTTTGATAAGAGTTGTTATAAAATATGATGATATTGACTTTCATATTTTCTTAGATTTCTTTCAACGATTCTTTTTGTGAGATTTTCACTGAATGTCCACGTGTTGTGGTCATACCTGAAAATTACATAGAACCTTACTGTATGTTAATTTCTTTTAATTTGCAGCTGTATATCCAATGCACAAAGCACTCAGTGTGCTTCTCTTGATTCTACGGGACGAATTAGGACAGGGAGTCTTCACAATCTGGATAAGAATGACAATTCAGCTTCTATTTCATCTTGGGCCTCGACCACATACACTAAGAGGAACAAATCCGTACGTTTTGAATGTGATGTTGATTTATCATCCTGTGACTATTCTGATTATGGTGGACGACATATGAAGAAAACAGATTTGCCAAACAATGAGAGTGCGAATAAAGCATCACCATACCCTACCCCAATGAAGCTATCCGATGAGATGCAAACTCCTGGAACTGTTTACCCTACAGCTAGGGAAGACTTGCCAAATGTTAGGCCTCGAGTTAAGTCCCAGTTTGTGTATCCAATTAACAACCCTGATGATGATGTCTCTCAGATACTTGAGGAAGATGGTCATACCCAAGATTCAAGGAAGCTGAGTCAATCAGTTGAGCGATCTGAAATTACAACTTCAACACCTGATAAAGGGTTACAGATAATTTCTTGTGAAGATGAATGTAAGGTGGAGGAAAGCTTAACTTCCTGGTTGAAGCCTGCAGCTGTCATTCTGGAGGAGAGAAACAGGAGGATGCAGATAGCTTATAATCATGTCCGGAAAGCACCTGTCGATAGGCCTATCATTGGGATGGTTGCAGCTCACTGGAACGAGAACGAGGATTCTGAAGTTCCTCCTCCTAAGTGGTGGGATGGTAACGGCATACCAAATTCAACCAATAAGTATAAAGAAGTATGACTTTTAATCATTATTTCCGATGTCAATGTTTTGATTCTCTCCATATTGTATCTGCATTTAATTTCTACTGATTATTTTTTCAGGATCAGAAAGTCAATTGGCATGCAACGCCATTTGAAGAGAGGTTGGAAAAGGCATTATCTGAGGAGAGTGTCATATCTCAAAGGTATGCATTCCTATTTAAGCTTTGTTTCTTATCTTGGGCGTGTATTTCATTTAAATAACTAAACTTATAATTTATAACATCCTTCAAATCTCTTATTTGTTTGATTCATAGGAAGGATGCGTGTGGAAAATCAATTCCTTTTGACGAGAATGAAGAAAGTGATACTGCACTATCTCAGCTGCAATCTTCAACTCATCCACAGTCAGTGGTGTCATTCTGATATGTCTGTTGTCCATACTCTTTTCTCTGGTTTAAAGAGTTATTGTCGCATTTGTGGAACTAAATCTGAATCCACGTCGTTCAACATGCTGATTGGTTGGAACAAACAGTGGATTATTCAAATTTTGTGGTAATATAGAACTATCAAGCTGTATGTCACAAGCTTGTATTGTATATAAGTAATGAGAATTATTGGGTAAAATGATGGGGTGGTATTGGGGGGTTCAGTAATGAACATTCTTCGGTTAAAAATTGAACTAGTCCAACTTTGAGATTTACATGAACTAAATTTTTGGACATGTTAGTATCATGATAAAGGTTAAAAATTTAAATAGACTTGAATTAGTCCGTGTGTATAAATAGAGAAAACTAGTGAGAAGAATAAACAAACTAAATGGTCACTGCCAATGATGTTATAAGGATGTTTCTGAGCCTCCATTAGGAATTTCTCTAAATGAAATTTGAATGTTCGAGCCTAGTCTTTTCGCCTCTTCTTTAGCATTGCTGAGGAGCTTGAGATGAGAGGGATTGAATTAAACCACGACAAAGGTCCAAAAAAAACTTGCTAAAATCTTGTGTGTTTGTTACCACACATGGTAAAGCTCCTAAATTAAGAGAGTTCCAATAGAAATAAGAAAAAGAAAAACTGTATTTCTATTGAAATGGATTTGACGGTGAATTAGTACAAATGCAATAACATACATTCAATAAAGCAATTCTTTGTTGGTCTTCAGAAAAAAAAATACAAAAAAAAAATACAATCAAAATTGGAAACGTGATTGAAATTTTAAAACATTTTAAAAATACAACCAAAATGATTTTTTTTTTTCAAGAAACACCTTCTCATCATTTCAAAAGACATTATCTCAAAATCAAAACGTAACAGTCTGGCTTGAACGCTCTCCTTTTTATTTTTTTTTAATGGAGCTATTATCGAAAATATCGTTCTATTCATCCTTAAATAAAAAAATATAAAATGTTATAATTTTAATAAATATTTGAACAAAATGGAAATTTTACAAGTATCTCTTTTTTTTTGTAAAGCTTAACTTTTATATGATTAGTTTACATATCTTTACAATATAAACAAATTAAACATCAACAATGATTTTTAAAAAAATTACTACAAAAGCAAACAATCTTATATCAAGCATAATAATTATGATTAATATGCAAATTTGTTTCACTATAAATGTATTTAAATTAAGGATAATGATATTCTGTCGACGAATTTTTCATATACAACTACTTGATAATTTTTATATAATAACACATCATAAATAATAATAATAACAATAATAATAATAATAATAATAATAATAATAATAATAATAATAATAATTATTATTATTATTATTAATATTATTGATTGTTTACGAAAAAAATGGTTGTCAAAGCATTATTAGTTTTTAAATTAAATTATTTTTCATACAATATTCTTGTATGACATGCCTACATAAAAGAACAATATCTAAATTTAATTTAACAATACTTAAAAAAAAACACAAACCGGGGTATAAGTATAAAAGTGTGAACCCTTACTACGAGCTATAGCTTTTGGTCAAGTGGCACGCAGCGTTAGCCACTTGACCAAAAGCTATAACTCGTTGTAAGGGTTCACACTTTGATACTTATATCCCGGGTTCCACCACGATTCCGCGACTCTGATTCCTCCGCTCTTTGGGAATCTCGAGGGGACTTGGACGAAATTGGGGCAGCGTGTGGTAAGTCCCCTCAAGATTCCCGAAGAGCGGTGTAACACTCTACCTTATAAACCCTAAATCAGAAGAATTAATAATTTTTAGTAGAATTTTTTTTAACCGATAATAATCTTTCCCTTGTACATAATATCAATATATAAATTTTCAATGATCCATTCCTGCATTTCATCATTTTAAAAAGTACTAAAAGTAAACATTCATAATTACATATAGATAAAATACTAGTACAGTCCTCCAAAATATTAAGGGCAACATTGGGGATACTTCCTACAGAGCAGCTAACTACACAAAACAGTAACTACTACTCAGTACCATGTAGGTCTATATACTACAAAAGACTGTCTATAAAATTTTAGATATGTTTATCCCAATACATGTTGCCATCATTGTGGCTCCCAGCTAATGAGTATGAGTTTCATATTCATCGGGTGTGGAATCTGTGCCATCTCCCCTCTCTTCAAACAATGACCGATCAGGTCCAACGAGTACCGCAAGTACAAAGGAAATAAAGAAAACAAAAAGACAAGAGGGTGAACAACAGTTCATACATCATTTTAAAATCAACATCATAAACATTCACAAGTCAATCAAATTCCAAATGATTGATGTTAATGATGCATGATCCTAATATGTTTTCTAAAATGTTTATGCATGCGGGCCTGAATCATTTCTCAAATCAGTACTGGGGTAGCCAGGAGTTGACACTACTAGGCATGGAAAATCCACCCACGGGATTGTTGAGACCCATGCTCAAATATAAACCCAGGTAGCTCACCGACCATTGATATACGGTAAGAGTACGATCGGAGTACGGGAGAGTTTGTACAGTGGGATCCCCAACAACAGGTAGCGAGCCTGGGTCTTTTGGGGCCTCCAACCACTACCCTTTCTATCCTCAAGTCCTCCCTCAGGGCCTCCCTATCGTATTCTCAGAGTGCATAATCTCTGATTCCCCAGATTTCACAAATCACCATTTTCAAATGAGTAATGTATGAGTTCCTAAGTGGGTTTTCTTAGAAATTCACATTTTTCCAAAAATTTGACAGAGTTTCCCCTATAATACGGACTTCCCAAAAATTTACAATCACCTGTTACAAGCAGAAAACTTCCAATACAGTTCAAAAAGGGTTCACAACCCATCATCCAATTCTTTCAATTTAATTTTCAATGAACTTTCTCATGAAAAACCACCATGCATATAAATGTTCACTCAAAGACCATACATATCATAATATAGTACCAAACATGTATTTTACACCATCATATACGTAAGCAATTCATGATCACTTTCACAACCAAGCATATAATCAAATCAAAATTATCAATCATAACAAATTTAGACAAATTCAACAAATAAGGTCAAACAAGTTTATGATGTAATCCTTACTATATAGCTCACCCCTTACCTGATACGTTCACACTTATTCCTTTCAAAGCTTGATGTTGTGTTTCAGCAAAATCTATATACGTAATAAAATGCTAGTTAGAATCTTATATTTCTATGATTCTATCTCATGAGAATTTAAATTCACTTTGTATTGCTAATCCATTTTTAATAATATTTTAAGCTCACATTCAACTTACAATTAACTTAGAAAATTATCCTAATTTGTATACACTTAGAGTAGGAAAAATCCTAATAGCAAACATGAACAAGGTTTAGTATTTCTAAATTTTCTAGAGTTATATAAGTTGTTTTGGCATGAGATTTGAGCCAAAATTTCAATAACTTAATTACCTACAATATTGACGAAGGAAATGAATTCAAATACCCTATAGAATAGATGCAGTTTTCAGTGGTTATTTCCAACTGGGCTCAATTACAATAACACTCTGAACATGCCTTGGTAATTTGACTACAACTCATGCTACACATAAGCTATTGACATGAAACAATTTTCTAAATTTCGGGGATATAATTTCCTACAACGTTTATGAAAGAATCAAGTCCTAATTTCATACGTATCAATCCCAGTAATTCAAAAACCGAGGCTGTTGAAACATGGCAACATCTTAACATTACAGCTAGAACACTTGACAGTAAAATGAGTATAACTTGAGCTACAAATATCCGTTTAATGTGAAACCAGTTTCTAAATTTCGACAACTTAAAGGGCTACAACTTTCATGAAGATACCAATTCCTAATTGTGTTCACACAAGTCCCAAAATTCAATGAATAGTACCTACGAATTAGGACTCTTAAAGTTTTTAGCTTAACAACTTCTAATCCTCAATTTTAAGCATTGTTCTCGTATTCTAGGTGTAAAACCTACAATAACGTTCTTCTTACACTCATTCAAGCTCAGCCAAGTGAGAAGAAAAATAGAAAATACACCATTTTAAAAAATAAAACGGTAGAAATGTAGAGGAGATTGAAATAAACCAACTTAGTCTTATTTCACATAATTTCCCGCTCAACGGATTTCCGTGCGCTCAGCGGATTATATTACGAAAATTTTATCCATTATTTTCTTCTTTTTACTCTAGCCAAGATTTGAACCCACAACTCCTAAGACTCCAACATCACTCCGAACCATATCAACCATTATATGTTTCTTGTTAATTTATACACATAATAAACTTTTAATGTACCTACACTCAATGCATACAAGAAAACAATAATTTCTAAATGTGACAATTAAAATTGTTAAGTCCATACTCTTTCAATTTCAACTCTAAATCATATAATTACTATCAGGCGCCCAGTTGCCCGCGAAACGGATCAATTTTATGTATTTTCTAAAAATTCCAGAAAATCATAAATAATCTAATAAACATAAAATTTTACAGTTACTTTACCCAATTCCTAATAATTTAATAATTAAATTTTTGACAAAGATTTTGTCAAAATTTAACAAATCAGGGGTATTGAGAATCAGGATGTTACAAGCGGGGGAATCAGAGTCGCGAAATTGTGGTGGGACTGGGGGTATAAGTATCAAAGTGTGAACCCTTACTATGAGCTATAGCTTTTGGTCAAGTGGCTAACGCTGCCCTGAACCCGAAGAGGGGGAAAGAAAGGAGGAAAGTAAAGTGACAGAAAAAAAAATAAATTAAAACATGTTATAACCCTTTATCTCTTCTGTCGGTCAACATGGCTACTTAGCTCACAGAGAACCCGAAACCGGGCTAGCTAAAATGAGCACGCAGTGTTAGCCGCTTGACCAAAAGCTATAGCTCTTAATAAGGGTTCACACTTTGATACTTATACCCCCGGTCCTGGTGTCAAGAATGGGACCGGGGGTATAAGTATCAAAGTGTGAACCCTTACTATGAGC